TGGCCCTAAGCTTAGTAGTTATAAGTGGCACCCCAAGATATCGAATTGGCAAATCTCCTTCACTATATCCCAGTTCTTGAAGAATGTCAAATTTTGTAGCATCATTGACTCTAGAAAAAAAAATATGGCTTTTATTAGGGTTTGACTTTAGTCCAGAGAATTCTTCAAAAGCCAGCAACACCTCTTTGATGGCTCTAATTGACTCAATTTTGCCTTTGCTGAAAATCATAAGGTCATCAGCAAAACAAAAATGAGAGATCCCCTGCATACTACATCTCCAATGATAAGTAAACAGACCCAGTTGAGTAGCCATCTTCAATAGACCAGAGAAAGCTTCCATAAGGATAACAAAAAGGTAAGGGGACAATGGATCCCCTTGTCTAAGTCCTTTTCTACCTACAAAATATCTATTAAGTTCACCATTGATGCTAACTAAATACATAGGAGAAGTAATGCATGCCTCAATCCACCCAATGACTTCCATAGGAAATCCCATATGACAAAGAATAACAAGGATAAAATCCCATCTAACATTATCAAACGCTTTCATGATATCAACTTTCATAGTACATCTTAGGCTGCCTCTATTAGAGTGATAGTTCCTGAGGAGTTCTTGGGAAACCAAGATGTTATCTGAAATGTTTCTATTTTTAATGAATGCAGATTGAGATCTATCAATAAGCTCGGGGAGAACCACTTTAATTCTGTTAGCTATAATCTTCGAGATACACTTGTAGATGGTTGAGCAGCATGATATAGGTCTATAGTCAGATAAATTTACGAGGTTGGGGACTTTTGGGACAAGGGCAATAATGGTAGAGTTCACCTCTTTCAATAATGTCCCAGAACTGAAAAAAAGAGGACGACATCTGTTACTTCGTTCCCAACAATATGCCAAGCCTTCTTAAAAAAACTAGCTGGGTAGCCATCAGGACCAGGGACTTTGCCATTTTTCATAGAGAACATGGTTTGTTTGACTTTTTCTCTTGTGACATTCTGCACCATAGAGTCTGCTTGTGCTTGGGTGATGCTGTTACTGATGAAACTTCTTACCCATTGCATGTTCAAAGAAAATGGGGAGAGGGAGAGCCAAGCAACAATTTGTAATACTGGATCACCTCCTTCTTGATGTCTTCCAAATCATCAGTTCTAGTTCCATCTTCTTTTTGAATAACAGTGAGCCTCCTATGGATTCTCTACTTGCTTATGGATTTAAAGAAGAAATCAGAATTTTGATCACCAAGGTTTAGCCACTGGATCCTTGTTTTTTGCTTTAGGAAGCTCTCCTCTATTTCTCTAAGCTCTATGTACTGCTGGAGCTTCTCTTTCTCGATGATCCAAAAAGCTTGGTTATTTGGATTTCTATCAGTCAGTTTTTGAATATCTTCAAGAGCTCGCTTGGCATCCAGAACTCTATCAGAAAGATCACTATAATTCCTCTTATTTAGCTCTTTCAGCTATTTCTTCAGTAATTTCAAATTTTGACATACTTCCAAACTCTCAAAATAGTGGGAAAAAAATCTTGATGTTTCGCCCAAAACTCAAAGAATTTGAAGGGCCTCCTCACCCTAGGAAGTCCAGCTCCCAGTCTTACCAGCGCAATAGAATGATTAGAAACTCCAAGGGTAAGGAACTCAGCCTCCGAGGCAGAAAAGTTCTCCCCCATACCTCATTTACTAACACTCTGTCAAGTTTACAAGCAATAATACCCCCATCAAACTACCTGTTACACCAGGTATATTGAATGTCAGAGTACTTGAGGTCCTTCAGTTCAGCCTTGAAAAGACAGTTACAAAAATCTCCTGAGCCTTTGTCTCTAATGCTGCAGCTTCTAATTTGCTCAGAGAAGGATTTGACAACGTTAAAGTCCCCAAGAACAATCAAGGGACTATGACATAGTGATTGAGCTCTCTGAATCAGATTATTCCAAAGAGGCTTTCTAGGATATGCCTCATTATGGGCATAAATGAATGAGGCGAAGAAAGAGTTGTGGTTGGCCAGGATCTCAACGCTACAATGTACAACTTGATCAGATTACTCAAGCAGTTTCACATCTACAACAATTGGGTTCCAACAAACCCATATTATTCCTCTAAGGGATGAGTTATTATTATTTATAAGACTCCAACCAGGCAACATACTTCTAAAGATCCTTTCAGTATTTACGCTCTTATTTTTGTTTCCACAAGACCACATAAGTTTACTCCATATAGGTTTGTCTCTCTTCTAACTTCAGCTTGCTTCAAGGGGCTGTTAAGCCCTCTTATATTCCAGCAGAAGAGTTTAATCATTGAGGGAGGGGTGAGTAAATGGGTTCCTACCCCTTTTTGGGCATCAAGTCAGAAATAGGTTTCTGCTTATTCTTACCTTTTGTTTTCCTCTGCTTTTTCCCTGTCGAAGTGCTCATAAGCTTCTTAATCTCATCTATGGATTTCAACTTATCTAGCATACTGCCAGGTTCTGGGAACTCGAACTCACTAAGTTCCTCCTCTTCATGACCTTCTATGGGCAGTAGTTCCAGTGCCTTGAACCTGTTGGAAGGTGAAATTTGTTTGCTAGCACAACATCCCTCTTGTGTGCTACTGCTCAACGCAATTTTGATGATGCCTTTTTCTTGCTTGCTATGATTTGTGACTTCCACTTTTTCTTTCCCATTGCTTTTTGGATCATGCCACACAGTAAGCGAGTTTTCTTTGTCCGCTTGAGTAGGATTTATAAGGTCAACAGGAGCCTGGGGAGTCAATCCATTGACCTCATCTTGCTTAGTTCCCATGGAGCATAACTCTGAGGCATCAAGTACTGGGTGGGATGGTTTTGCCAGTTAATCTTCTTGGGCCTTGTTTGTTATGGTTGGAGTACACTTATGACCAAAGGATTCACATGTTTCACAGCGAAGGGGTTGCCATTGGTGCTCAACACGAATTTCTATTTTCTCCAGATCATCCTCATCCACCCTTTCCATTAAAGATCAAAAGATTCCAATAGAGGATGTTGAGCATCAACTTCCACACAAATCCTAGCAAATGAGATTCTATTTCCTTCCTCAGTTAGCTTGTCCATGTATAGGGGTTTACCAATAGCACTTGCAATATAGCTAAGGCCAGTGGCAGTCCAATACTCGTTAGGGATATTATAGAATTTAGCTCAAATAGAAATTTTCTTGATTGCCCTTTTTGTTAACTTAAGCCTAGGTTGCCATTTCTTTAGCAGAATGGGTTGGCCACCGATATGCCAAGGACCTCCCTCCAGTACCTCGTTTTGGAGAGTAACTCTAGAGAAATTGAAAAAATAGAACTCATTCTGATTTGCGGTGACCTCATGCAGCCCTTTGTAACCCCATAATCCCATAGTTGATGATCTAACTAGATGGAAAGGTAACTTTTTTCCCACAAAAAAACCAACCAAACAGGTCTCCCATTTTGAATAACCTTCATTTGCAACCTCTTTAGGAGGTCTAACTACTATTCTACCATCCTTCTTGCAAGGAGGAACAAATTCCATTTTCACTTTGGACCTAGAGTCAGATTTAACCTTGGATGCCCATGAAGGGCCAGATTTTGGTGTATTTGGTAAGACCCCTGTTCCATTTTCTGCCAAATCTATGATTTTTGAACTAGGGTTAAAAGTAGAATCACCTGCATCTGTGCTCTGCCCCTTTCCTAGCTTGGATGTGATCGCCACTTTTTGACTTGTTGTTTTCTCGGACCATCGAAGCCCATTGCCCACTCCATTGCCACGACCACCACCACGGGAGTAACTCCTACCTCGGCCAATCCTGGCTTCAAGTGGAGGGAGAGAAGTCTGGTTAATGGTAAATAGATGCCTCTGGATTTTGTTCTTTGTGACAAGCTTTTAAAGTCTACTTTCATCAGCTAATGTACAATTGCGCCCAACTGGGGCTTGCCCTGTTTCAGAGGTGACGATGGTAAATGCCTCAGTTGTCTCTTTGGCTTTGCTTTGACTATTTTCGAGCAGGTGCTCACCCCTAGCACCTCCTCCACAAGATTCTTGACCAGCAGCCATATATACCCAACAAATGGTGGAGAGGGCGCAGAATATTTAAGGGGGAGAAGAGGGAGTAGATTCGGGAAAAGAAAGAAGATAGGTCCCAAATGGTTTTTGGGGTTTTGGTGGTGGGTTTTGGGTGGGGGATTTTTTTGGTTTTGTTATTTAGGTTCATCATAACGTAGCGAATTGGTCCTAGAGGCAATTTCCCATCAATTAGTACGGTACAAAGTAATTGACTACAATCTGTCCAAGGGTTTTTACAGCACCTGTTAACACCAGAGTCTCATTGAACGATATAGAACACATGATTTCTATATTTAGTTGAAGCCTTCTATTCTTTTTCTTCATCAACTTCATTAGCAAACCTTTTTTCTAATACAACTTAGCATATTCGTGGTGCATGGGACAGTCTGCGGGCAATAAAAACAGGTTGGCACCAAACCTTGACTTTGTTATCTAATTATCTGAACTGTTTGGATTTATGGACCAAATGTGATGGCTTACTTCTACAAAGAACCTTAGTTGTCTGACCTTGATACTGGGATGCTGAAAGGTTGAATTTTTAGTCTGTGCATGGTTCTCATGGCAGGCTATTCTGTTTGAAGTGGTCTGCTTTGCATATTAATTATTCTTAGTAGATCATTTTGACCACACCGGTTTCTTGTTTTCTGCAATTTGTTGCTACTGGTGTAACTAGTATATGATCTTCTTTTACTCTTCTGGATGGCAGATCTTCTATAGTTGGGCCTAGAAGATCTGTCATTCCGTTGGCCCTCTTTTACTTTGTTTTGCATACGATATTTAGTGGGTTATCTATATACTTGTATCATAAACATCGATCAGTTAATTAATCATTTACTTACCAGGGAAAAAAAACTTTTTCATGGAAGAACTCTTGTATACACAGATAAAAAACTAGGGTTTTCTAGTTTCATACAGGTATTATACATTCATAGCACAATAGGCCTATGCCTATAACCCAGATATCCATCACACATAGTAAACACAACATTCATACTGATACTTTTAACTTTCTACAACTAACCAATGCCGTACATTCTTCTATTGAAACTCACATCTAGGCTAGACAGTTTTTACAGAAAAGATTCTTCTTGACTAGCTCTGATATGGCCAGATCATTGGCTATCTTCAACATCGAGTTGGGAAGGAACAAGGAATAATATAATGGCGACTTGGCGATGATCCATTTTTTTGTCCAAAGTCTTGGTAACTCTCATTATTATCACCTTCAGTGCTGTTATTATCAGTCTCACTGCTGGCTTTATTCTCAGTGTCTTCAGTCGTTCCTTTGTTTACTGTGGCACCCTTATCAGCACCAACCTCAACCTTTCGACCAAGGTTGGCTTCATTAGCAAGTAGCAAACGGGTCTTCAAAGATGGCCATTTCGCATTAGCTTCCAAACTTCCCAAGATCAAAACGCATGCTACAAAGACTACTAGCATGGTCTTCATGATCCAATCGTCTCTATAACACTGGAAATTAAGAAAGGATATGTGGTTAATATAAACAGAATTAAATTGATCCCTAACCCAAGTAATTAAGCTAATAGAAACAAGTGCACTATGATAAGGGTGATATGGAATGTATACCTCTCTTCTTGCTCCTGGAAAAGCTTAGCTATATATGATTCCAGTGGTTGCAATATATATAGGCGATAATTTGGACCAAATACCCTTTTAGTCTCTAAAAGTTTACATTATTCACTTTCAAACTTAATTTTCTAATTATGTCACTTTAGTCTCTAGAGTTTTTTATTCAAGTTTATACACTTTAATCGATGGTGGATGTTTCAATTGGTAACAGAAAATTTCGTGTGATATTTGATTAAATACATTTTTGGTCTTTAAAACACTCGGGTATTGTTATTTTGATCCCAAAATTAGTAATTTTATCAATTTAATTCCTAAAGTTTCAAACTTTGATAACATGCGTTTAAATTGAGGCCACATGGCATTTTATGTGAGGCTCACTTGACATGTTTGATGTTTTTCTATAGTAATGTTGTGCTTGTCAAGTTTCTTATTAAGTTTTTCATCCCAAATAATGTAAAATAATTTTCATTATTGAATATTAATAAGATTCACTTATTTGATGGTAAAAACTGTGCTACATCACTCGGGACGGAGAACTTGGTCAACATAGCATTGTTGATTTTTCTATTAGCACATTTCTAACACTTCAAACTCTAAGTAGAACTTTAGTGATTGAAATTAACAAAATTGATAATTAAGAGGTCAAAGTTATATGCACACTATATTTTTTATTATTCAATTGAAACATCCACCATTGATTGAACCATTTAAATGCAACTTGAAAATTCTAGGGATTAAAGAGATACAATTAGAAGATTAGGGACTAAAAAGTAAGGCAAAACGCATATCTTTGGGACTATTACCATATTTTGAGCTGATGACTAATACTGCATTTGGATAATTAGTGGAACGAAAAAAAAAAAAGGATTATTATATGAAAAGGTAAGATAGAAATGTGAGCACTAAAGAAAAAAAGGATGAAGTGGGAGATTTACAATGTCTTACCACCATTAGCCACTGGGAGAGAGGGGTGTAGCCACCAAAGAAGTAATTATGATAAGGATATATACTCAAGCAACTTTTTAGACTGACTTTCAATTACTTGATATTGTTTAATCCCAATATGTTTCCATGTTAGGGTTCAACACATGGATGATACCGCAATAATGCAAGTTATTTTCACCATTCAAATTATGACAGCAAGCCGTGCTAAAAGTTTCTTTTCCTTTTTTTTTTTTTTTTTAAATTACAGTTAAAAATATCTGAATCAGTGTACGCCAATAACAGGTACTGAACATCATCACCGAGAAGAAGAATTAAAGAAAAATAACAGAAAGAAATTCTCTCATTTCATTATATCATTGGTTTGTTTACAGTGTGATGCATTACAGCTGAACATAACTTGTTAATCCCGACAGAATCAGTTATCTAACTATCCACTTGTATGCTGCCAGCTGTTAGCTCTTTAACTGATTTCCGTGGCTTCTTTCTCTGTGATGAATCTGTGCTTTGGGTGTTCACAAAAAAAATATTTTTTGTTTTTTTATCCGATATTTTACGAATTTTTTTTCTTATCCTACCTTATCCGATCAAGTATGGTATTCCTATCCGATTAATCTGGTAGGAAGTCGGGTAGGAAATCAGATAAACACTTTTGTAGTTATTAATTTTTGGATTATTTTAACAATTCAATTAAATAACATACACCAATTTAACAACACAATAAATCAATAATATTAAAATCTAAAACAACAATTATAATGAAATATAAGAAATCATGAACATCAATCTATCATAATTGTTACACAAATACAATAACAATTATTTTAAGTTTAAACTATATGAAACACATTAAAATGATAACTGCTCCAATAGATCATTAGTTTACCACAAAATCATGTAACTTACACAAAAAATAAATCTATGTTTTAGCAACTCAAACACCCACAACAATGATAATGTTATAACATAAATTATACCACACAAATACTCTTATAATTACTAAAAAAAATATAAAAAAGTTAAATATATTTTTTGCGGGTAGGGGTAGGGTAGGAATGCGGAAATTAATGGATATTCCGCATTCCTACCCGATTTAATAGGAAAACCAAAAATTCTTCTGCATTCCTACCCGATTTTTGCGGCTAACTGTTCAGTAGAATCGCATAAGATAGGAAATTGTGGCCAATCGAAATTTTGAACTCCCTAACTGTACTAATAACCTCCCTCAAATTGAAGGAAGAGGAGTGAACCTTCGGTTTCTCTCGAAATTTAATAAAATGTGTGAAATTACATTAAAACACATATCGTCAGATAAGTACATTAAAATATAGATTATTAATATACCTTCTTCTTCACAAACACATATTGTTAGACAAGTACACTAAAACTGATTATGTATCTACTTTCTGTACTTACGAAATCAACGATTAATATGCAATCGAATATATTCCAAACTGTTAGGTTGTCGAATTTGAAATTCAAAAAAGATAGATAGAATTCAAAAAATACTCAATAACAAACGCAAAAAAAAAAATTGTATTTGAGGTTGAAATCATGTAATGGGGATAAAATGGGTAATGAAAACACACTAATTATCCAACTCTTATATGGTCACGCCAACTCAGGGACCGCATACAATGTTTTTAAAAAATGGAAGACATTTTTTTATACTAAAAAACCGATAGAACTAAAATTAGTTTACACACCAAATGAAAACCCTAGCCTAATTAACTAAAAATACATTAACAATAAAAATGTCTTTATCTATAAAACCCTGAGTTGAATAGGGAGCAGGTCTAATTTGGGCATGATCAGTCTTAATGAGCTTTTCGTCCATCATCAGGACCAAACCACTCATCTAACAACCCTCAGCCCAACCGTTGAAGCCCATGAAGAGAGTGTCAGTGAATCTGAGTCAACGATCAAGTCTGATCGGTCAGAGTTTCATTCGCAGACAAAGGTCTGAGCATCTGACACCCAACTGGGTGCTTCGATGTCTCACATACCAGTGAGTCCATGCGCGTATATAAATACCCTCGCTTCCTTAAAATTTAAACAATTGGACTTCAAATTTGCCCGCCAACCAGAAAGAAAATGAGAGGCTCTCATCTTCAGACCCCGCAGAAGGAACATCTAGTCCCAATTCCCCGATCCAAATCTCTATCCGACTACAATACGAAGCATCAAAAGGTGCAATACAAATTGAAATCGACATCAAATCCTAACAATGTCTGTTCTTTGATCTTCATCACGTGTAATTTAAATTTATCGTTTGATGATTTCTTGTTGCAGATCAGTAAATGCTTGAATTCTGTGTCTACTTCGGTTTCAGAAGATGTCTTGCTCGAATCACCCAAGGATTCGATAAAATCTTCTTCGACGTCGGAGGTTTGTGTCGATAATCAACTCGGCGACTCTCCAGAAGTAATTTCAACTTCGATTTGAATTCCAATATTTGTCTATTTACTGAAGTGTTTTCATTGCTGTTTAAAACACAATCAAAACAATTTGAAAGCAAAAGGCAAATTTCAGTTGGCCAATTCACGTTATCCTAACTATGTCGGTTCTTTGATCGTCATCACGTCTAATTTAAGTCTTTAATTTGATGCTTTCTTGTTGCAGATCAGTAAATGTTTGGATTCAGTGTCTACTTCGGTTTCAGAAGATGTCATGTTCGAATCACCAAAGGATTCAGTAAAATCCTCTTTGACACTGGAGGCTTGTGTTGATAATCAACTGGCTGACTCTCCAGAAGTAATTCCGATTTCAATTTGAATTTCAATATTGCCTATTATCTGAAGTGTTTTTATTGCTATTGAAAACTCAATCAAAGCAATTTTGAAAGCACTCTTCCTCATTTCCTGCATTTGATGGAAAATAAGAGCAATCTTTCACTGTCGACGATTAAAATTACAAATTCAGGGGTGACTAATGTTTGATTACGCAGCATTTTATTTATCCATATTTCGGAAGTATTTTCTTGCTTTAGAGATTGAATTTTGATTTCTTTATGTTTCAAACATCATTTAGCAATTGAATTTGGACCTTTTGCTTTGAATCACGCAAGTAATTTTGTTGTTTTTGATACCAAAACAAAAGGTAAATTTCAGTTCGCCAATTCACATTTGCGAATTATTTCATAACTGTGGACCATTAAGTTTAGTATATTGGCAGAACTTTTCTCACTTTTTAGAAACAAAATTTCACTGTTGCCAATATTACTTCACAACTCATTGTAACCAATTGTTTGATCAGTAATTATTATTATTGTGTTAGAATTTGTAGCATTTTTCTAGCTTCTGAGGTTTGAATTTATTTCTCTTGTAGAGCTTGGCCACACCATTGAATCCAGACTTATCACCTTTATCGAAGACTATTTCTGTATTTGATGTCACTCCATTGTCTTCCACTATCACTACTCACGAGGTCGAAGCAAACAGTCGCTCAGTTTCAGTCAGTTGTGTTGGACTAGGCAAATCGACTTGTGTGAGAATCAGTTCCGTGGAGGAAGAGATGCTGGTGAATCTTATTAGAGAAGCTCGAACTCAGGTCCTGAATTCAAATGATGTGGCTCTCCGATCTAAGAAGCTTTTGGATAGGCTAGTCAAGTTTATGATTGAGGATTTCCAATGTTTGCCTGAGGAGAGGGACTGGATCAATGAACTACCTTTGAAGAAATGTCGTGTTGTGCTTTTGAGTTTCGTGCTATGGATCTTAGCAGTGTTGATGCTTTTCTCCTTCAGTTCAGATGGCCAAGGCTCTTTATATGGACCACCACCAACCTAGAGTTCTTTTCTGAGGCATATTATACAGCAGATTGGTTGATATGGTAAGATCTTTTGTTGTTAGGCTTGATTGATCCTCTTTATGATTTGAGATGCATTTACTATATAGTGCTGAAAATTTGACGTGATACTGTAAATACTGCCTGAAGTTTGCGTTTAAAAGATGGAAGTTTATATGACTTCAATGATATGATATATCAGTTCAAATTGTTTTGTTGAGATGCAATATAGGATAGTCAGATTGTTTGAGTATGTGAATAAAAATCTTGTCCCTTGAAGTTTGAAGATAATGCATAATGTTCCCTCTGTTTTATGTGTTTTTGCTGGCCTTGATTTTTTTTTTTCCATTATCAAAATTGAAATTGACAGTCGTGCCTAATAAAACTGACACACATCCGAAGAACTCAAGGAAAAGTGTAAATGACTTGAAGCTAATCTCCATTCTTGGTTCTATAGCCTACAAGTAATACCTTAAAATCAAAGATAGGTAAGCATATGATATGCAAAAGGATATATCTACTACAATGAAGGCCCCATTGATTTTCTTCTACCATTGAGAGATTGCCCCAAGTGGTAGTCAATAGTAATTGCTTCTTCCCCTAAAACAGGCCCATGAAAGTCCTGCAATTAAGGGTTTAGACAGATTAAGGTAGTTTACCATGTGAAAAAAGGTTTCTGCACAGGGGGATTTACTTGAGGCCTGTGATGTTAGAAAATTTTTGAGGCAGGGAACTTACCTCTGAAATACTTGGAATCGTTGACCTATTACTTATGTTTTCTTGCTTCTTGTACTATCCCCTTGTGGCTATAATAAACTGTAACAAATATAAACTCCATGTCCTGTTTTCTGTTTCCTGTTTTTCGACATTTACATCATTAATATGTTCTATGGTTATATGACTCTTATGTGAGTATATCAGAGAAATTGTTTGTCATGTGCATCATAGAACAAAGGAAAAAAAAGACAGAAAAGTCTCAAGAACACACATATCTAGTTATATGGTCTTGCATGTGTTGCCTGGATGGCAATAGCAGGGCTCAACTGTTTGTGAACCTGTATTTGTCCTTTCTGGGAATCTGAAGGCACTTGGTGTTAATGTTACATAACAAATGCTTAGACATTGGATTCACCACAAATGCAGAAAGCTCTTTGTTCTAACAACTTCAACATCCTTTTTGGCCAAAACCTTTGGCTCTTCTTCTGGTTTTCTGATTTATTGTCCACTGGATCAGTTCTATACATGTGCATAGTTGAAACAAAGCTTCATATACTTTCTGGGGATAAATATATGCCTCTTGGGTTGCTAGCAATTCCTCATGAGCTTGAAGTAGAGAAAGTCTTAATCGCTAAGCACATTAACTCCATTGGGCGCAAATTGAAGCCCATGAAGAGCAGAGGTTTCAACTGCTGTCATAGATTAGTCAGGTCCACTATTGATGTAATATACTCCTAGTCCATGGTTCAATTAGTTTCCAGCTTCTACCACCACTTCCAAAATTTTCTGTCCCTGCCATTGGACTCTCAGAATGATTCTAATAACTTCATTGAATACTAAGATATTCAGTCTGCCTCAGTGGCCTTGCTGGAAAACTAAGGTTTTCTGAGTTACACAAATACTATTTGAAACATTAAAAAAAATGTACTTACCAAATGAGTTCAAACTTCAAAGTTATAAGCTAGGTTTAAGTTTCTGCCCACTCATATAAACTCAGCCCTTTAAGTGCCAAATGGCAGACATATTCTTTGGATAATAACAATAATTTAACATTGGTTCTTTGTTTTTCTCGCTTGTTTTGTTATATTATGGCTATTTTAGATTCACACTTAAATATGAAGATTTCCACCAAATCCGCGATTACGCATCTTTATCTCTTCCACCAGATGCTATAGTCTTATTGATTGATGTATCTGATAGTTAAAATGGTTGTGTCTTATAATGGTTATTTATACAGTTATTCTAACTGTCTGCCCATTTTTTTATTTTATTTTATTTGATGGGTGGTGGCTAAGCCTCAATTGACCCAAGTAATTGCAAATTTTTATGGATGCTGAATCATCTGTGATAGATTGTAACTTCATATACAGCATAAAACCTTAATTACAACAGAAAATTTAGGTGTGTACATAATCATCTGTGATTAAATGGATTAAAAAAGAACTAAAACATGTCAAACTAGCAAGAAGTCTAAGATTATTCCAATATCATCAATGCCTATACACATGTTAGGAAGCAATGCAGCCAGATAAATTTCAAGGTGGTCCCTTTCTAATGTGTAATCACAAACCTTAAAGAGCATTATACTGGTCTTATCCTTTGCTTGATCCTTGTAATAAATTTATTTATTCCTTATGATTAAAGTAGATCAAAAAAAGTTCGATAGTCTCTTCCTAGTAGAGTTGTCTAAAAACTACAAGAGGGTTATAATCAGAATGGATGATTGGGACCGACCAAAGTCTTAACAGCTCCACTTGGCAAACAATTATCAAGGTAGCAGGTAAGAATCTGTTTGAGAATATAACAGATCACTAATGGAGACCAATGTGATAATAGCTGTATTGCTAATTGATATTTTAACTGATAGTGATTCTTAGCTTCTGATTTATACCTTTGAAAAGGGATTTCATGCAAAGCACCTACTGTTCACAAAACCAATATGGGCAGAGAGAGAGAGATTTTGGTCTAATCCTAAAAAGCTTGATCTAGCTGTACTTAAAAAGCATGATTCGGTGTAATCCACTGAAGTTTAGTAAAGGTAATCTTTGGTTAATGTCTTACTGAGGTTCTGTTCCATCAAATAATTCCATGTGTTGCTTCATTTAACTTGTTTCTTTAGCTTTTTTGCAGCATTGAATAACGAAGAATTATTTTGATTTTCCTTCCCTACCTCAGTTATTTTCAATAACAAAGGTACTGATTCTTACACTCATGCAAAATGGAGCGAATCATACTGTTTATAAAAGCGAGATCTGGTTCTTAGTTGTTACCACCGGGAATAAATGTTGTCCTCAGTTTGAGTACTTACTTTTAGTAGAACTGTTAGCATGTTCCCTTATTATTTGTGCTAGATGATATGTTTCGGTTATTATACAAAAACATCAAGGCGATCCATCCATCCAGAATGTACACATATATGCATGCATGCACCCATTTGTAGATGATAGAGACACAGCTCTAGACTTGCACACTGTAAATACTATTTGACACACTCAATTTACTTCTTTATCCCAGTAATTTCGAGTTGGTTTTCAACCATTTGCCAACTAAATTGTGGGAAATCTCATGTCCCATGACCTGGTTTGTGCAGAGCTTAGTTAGAGGTTTGAAATGGGGGCAAAAACTATTCACTATTTCCTCCTCCTAGATCTTGTTATCAACAGATATATCTTGTGCACTTGGAAAGAATATTGTTAATGGTTAAATATTAGGAATCAATTCTAACCTATGGATCCCCTCTAAAACTCATGGGTAGGAAACAGATCCAACATGAATCTTTTTAATTCAAACCCTCCCATTCATAGGCCTCCCTAGGCTAGTGCTGTTCAATGCACTCTCCCTCTTTTTGGTGCTTATCATTTTTTTATGGTGTCTCATGGTAGGGGGGCAATTGTGCTGGCACATCATAATGCCTGGGACTGTTGGTATATTTTTTGCAAGGTTTCTTTAATGAAACTCATGAATAGTTTAATGTAATACACATGGTACCATAATTTTGGTGAGAATGTGGATTTGCTTCATTATTGCATGAAAACATAACATAAATAATAACAAATCATAGTCATATACGCAAGCATTTAGCACTCTTTCATCCCAAATATTCAAGCCAGCCTGTCTATCCCCATTCAGATTCATTATCTATTGGTTAGGCCTATAAATCTAGAAGGATTTGCCCCTTATATATATATTAGTTATTACTTGTGCCTGAAGATACGATGTAGTAAAAAAAAATAGTTAACAATAAAAATATTTATATTCAAACTCAATCAAATTACAAATATATAGGAGAGAAAAAAATTTAAGTATCGGTTGTAATAAGAGTGAACAGTGATAGTGGTGGTGGGTAGCAGTGGTGGTGGAGAGAAATGGTGATAATTGTAATGGGTGGTGATGATCGTGATGGGTGGTGGTGAATTTTGAGTGACGATGGTGGTAGTGAAAGTCATGGATAACAACGGTGGTAGTGATAAGTGTGAGTAGTGGTGGGTGATGATGATAGATAAGATTTTGCATATTTATAAGGTCTGAGCAACGTTAAATATGCACAACCTCATCTATATACAAAAGCGTTGGTAATTAAAAACACTAACAATTTCATCCTCTTACACCTTAATTGAAATGTGCAGCATGAATATCCACACCTCCCCAAGGAGGAAAATTCCAAACCAAGTTCCCTACTGATATAAAACAAAGTAAAGGATAAAAGTGCCAGAGAAACAAGCACATGCATTTACTTTGTTTTAACATTTCTTTTGTGCCTGATCACCACCATTAATCATTGCACGGAATGAAACAAGAAGTTTTGTGGGACCCTGGCACCAGTCAATTAGTGGAGGCCAACACCTCCAACCCATCCACTGAAACTGTTGCACAGTATCAAAATTTGGTAAGCAATTGTTTTGCTTTCTTTCAATAAGATCACGATGTTCGTGGGTGTTTGGATTAATTTACGTATATTTTTATTAATTTTTTTTAAACTGATTAAGATAAATTATCTACTTTGAGATTTGTTGTTTTGTGGTATTTTAAATATAATAAAATCACTTATTAAAATTTTTGATGTAAAACATAAAATGTATAATAAAATAATAATAATCAAGTACAAAATAGTTATATATAACTTTTTGTTTAACCAATATAATTACTAATTCGTTTGCAGAACAGAGAATTGTTATTGAACTTTAAGTAGATCAAGACTAGTGTTTCATATTGTGTATTTAAGATAGATTTTGCCCTCATACACGGTGTATATAGAGTATAAAACGTCTGTTTCTTAGAATACAATAATCTTTACACGAGTAGAAGTAGCACTTTAATTTATTCGTCTAGCGAATTAGAAATTGTATTGTGTACTCTATAAATGCAGACTTCTTTAATGATGTATGAGAATGCCTTAAATGACTATGAATGTATTGAATGTAAAATAATTATGTGATTGAGTTATTTATAAAGAGAATGATGACTGATCCGGACAGTCATTATTTAAATGGATTCAACTCAGTAGACATTACTTGTGTAACTGTTTCTTATAGACAGACATAACTCAAAATTTCAAATTGTACAAATAGGTACTAAAATTTAATTTCAGTTCAGAAATTTTTGTAAAATTAATTAAACGATTTTTTTTTGAAAAGATAAAGTTTGGTTTAAACCACACTCACACTTGAGCTTGGCCATGTTCGGGTCGTGGTGAGGTGGGCGGCACGCGTGTGGTAGAACCAAAGATATGTAGGCACTTGCTTCGCAAGTAAAATTGTGGTACTTCTTAGGGTCTAATCTCATAGACCAAATTTGATTTATATATGTCCATGTAGAATTTTTTCTTCAACCAATGTGGGATTGTTGTTAAATCTTACATTACACAATCTCTATTTTTTTATTTCAACAGAGTCATTTTAGAGTCTATTTTTTCATTTATTTGTTATTCAATTTGAGTAAGTGAATTTGCTAAATTATTCTCCTCATGGAGTAGAATACAAACTCACGAAAGTTTATTCGAAACAACGAATGAGTTCTACTTCAATTTAGGCTTAAAGTCGACTAAAAATTTAGTTTTTACACTTAAAAAAATTATTTTGGTCTAACAAGATTGGGGTATTTATGAGTGATAAAATTTTCATATCTTAGTTCTAAAAAATTTGTCAAGATTTAATTTTAAGACATTTAAATTTACAAGTTATTCTTGTTATCATTTGAATTATTTCTTGGGATTTATTATGACATTATTGTGATGCATATCTTAGTGGTGATTTTATCTTGTGTTAGAAGATAGTTTGCAATCCATTTTCAAAATTTCAAGTGATTTTTGACGAACTCGACACTGTGATGAATAGGCACACCATTTTCCCATCAATTATAGGCCACGAAACACAATATTTTTGAACTTATAAATCAATTTCAAAAAATTTAAGCTATTTTTGAAGGTTTTTGTGGCCAAGACATGGAGTTCAAACAAGCAGTGTCAGTCTTATACTGATCTTGCTGGTGATGAATGTCACTTCTAGTCCATGGACAAGGACAAGGACAACATATGTCGGTGCTTAAGCCAAAAAATCTCAGATATTTATGAGGCCCGTCCTTCCGGTTCTCTACATTAGGGTTTTTTTTGGTAAGTAATTCCATGCATTAAGTTTCCACAACTATGTTGACGTGAATTTTAATTGGGAATCAAACAGGTTAATAGTAGGTCCACATGTCTCAAGAGTTAGAAACTATACATGCGAAGTAATTTCGTATCGATGTATTAAAGTTTTACAAGAAGAATATTTAACAGGAATTTTAATATATAATTATGTGAGAGTGACACGGTTGTAAACATTATGACATTAGTGGATCTGTACGATGCCTATGAACTTACTTTACTAACTTATTAAAAAAAAATTGAAAAGATTGAAATTTTAGCCAGGTGGTTTGGTGGTATTTATTCTATTCTTTTATGACCTGTATAAGTTATGATGTTACTTGGGATGGATTTGAGACCTAAAGTCTAATTGATAAATTTGGATTTTTTTTGAAAAAAAAAAGAAATAAAAATTCAGTTGTGAAAAATGATGAATTTTAAAATTAATTCATAAATTATGCATCAAACCAAATGTTCGAACCTCTCTCCACTTTCTCCTTTTTCCTGATCCATCCGCCAGTGGAGAAAATATTTAATGCAATGGTTGATGTTATGTTAACATTGTTATATGACGTCATTAATTAATAATATATAAATAAGTAAGGAAATTGATTTTACACAAATTAATAATTATTTATATAGTAAAGTATAATACAATTTAAATTTAAAAAGATAAATAAATTGATTTTTGTTATTCGTGGTTGAGATTTATTTAAATTATATTTTAAAGTTAATTTGACGGTTAATATTAAAATTTTAAATTTAATAAAAAAAAAGGCCTTTAAAGGTATGTTTTGATTAATTTTTTAAAAGTGTTTTTAGGAATTATTTTTTATAAATATTTTTTTTAAAAATAATATTTTGAATCATCTCTCCACCACCATCACCATTACCACCCCCACTGCCACCACCCCCACCATCACCACCATTATCACCACCCAATTACACCTATTGCTCAATCACCCTCGTTGCCACCATCCTACTATCACCACCACCATCATCACTACTACCATCGCTCCACCACCACCACCACCACCACCTCCTCCATTATCCCACCACTATCATTACCACTACCATCACCACCTTCATCGCCCCGCCACCACCATCTCTATTGCTCCACCACCACCACCACTATCACTATTACCACCACTGCCCCACCACCATCATTACCATTACCACCACCGTCCCACCATCTTTATCGTCGCTCCACCATCATCTCCACTACTACCATCACCATCACCATCCCTATTACCACTATCACCACTACCACCGCTATTGCAACTTACTATCATTATCATTGCTATCGCACCTTACCATCACCGTCAATGTCCCATCATCACCTTTATCTCCTCCATTGTCCTACCACCACCCTTATGAGCATCACAACTATTATCACCATCACCAACCCACCACCACCATTGCCACTACCCCACTTACACCCCTACCTCACCTATCACTGATTGTTATCATTGTTGTCTACTCTCACCACCTATCACTTATCACCATCATCATCTTATTCTTATATTTATTATCATTATCACCATCATTCCATTACTACTGTTGCTTATTGTCAGCATTAACAACTACCATTGTTGTCCACCATCACTCATTAGCACAACCCATCATCACCTGTCGTCATCCACCATCGTCACCAGTCACTGTTACTCACCCTCACTACATCTATCATTATCACCCATTATAGCCCACCATTGCATTCATCCACTGTCACTTATCCCCACCATACTTACCATTATTGCCATTCGCCACCACCATTGTCATCGCCCATCACCACCGTCGTAGTCCCGCCACCACTACTGCCACCCACGCCTACCACCACCACCATCGTCATCCACTTTTGCCATTATAATCATCGTCACAAAAAAATTTACCATCACCATCACCGTTGTTATCCACGGCTATAACCACCATCACGATTATAGCCACCCACCACAATTATCGCCATCTTCCGCCATCATTACTGTCGCCCACCATTATTAACACTTCTTACCCCCATTACAATTGGAACTTAAATTTTTTTATTTCTCTTTTATGTTTGTGATTTGATTTTATGTGTGAATATAAATATGTTTATTGTTGACCATTTTTTTTATTACTCCGTATCTTCAGGCAGAGAAAATAACTAGTACGTTCATATAAGCTAATAACTAATTATTCTTTTTTTATATATATAAGTCAATAATTACTTAAGTGAGATTCATCTTGTCTAGTTAATATTTTATTTTTGATTGATAATATTATGTGATAATACTGATATGATATTAGTGTTGTATTAAATATTTACTTGGGTCGATGGTGTTACCACCATCATTTCTCATCCATTAGCTTAAATATCAGTTTGAACAAGATTAGCATACTAATATAATAATTTGCACCTTGATTCTCATTAACCAGCCGCCCCAAACTTTGTCTTAAAAATAATTTTTCCAGTACAGTTGTCGTGGCACTTGGTTATTTCTCAATCTTAATTCCAACATTAATATTTTTCTTATAAAGATTATAAAACGCAGAGCAAAGCGCACCACCGAAGGGGGTGGGGGCCAGCCAAGTAAAACCCACATGGCCCAAAAAGCAAAGGGACGAAAGCATTAATAAGTGGTGTGATTTTTAAACTAGTCAAAGCGTGCTCTCCCGTGATTCCCTTTAAAGCCCATTACACTTGCACACAGCCCCTGCCGTTTCTCCACCCAACTCCTCTCTCTCTCTCTTTCTCTCTGCCTGTACAGCTTCGCCAGTGTTGATCGATAATAAGATCAGAAGAGATCGATCCTTATTTCTTCAAAAGATAAACGATCTATTCAGATACTTTTGGTATTACTTTGCTCAAGAATTCCTTGATTTTGATTGGTAAATTAGCTTATGTGTTTATAGTTAATCTCTTCGTATTTGTTTTAAAGTTAATCTGAAACAAATTCATCAACTTCTTATGTTTTGAATCTCTCTCTTCTGTTGATTCTATTAAGTAGTTATGAAGTTAATCTGAAACAAATCCATTTAACTTCTGTTGTTTTGAATCTCTATGTTCTTCTGATCCTATTCACGTGATTGATTGAATATACAGGTTTTCTCGTCTTCTCTGAGTATATACGTACATATCTACTGGATTCGATCTGGTCCGACTCGTTCGATTCATCTGGAATTTCTCAAAATCGTTGCGAATCAGCGGTTCAGATGGCGTCAACAGCGATCGCGAATCCAGTAGCGAACTCAAACAGAGCTTCGACGAGGAAGAAGAAGAAAAGCCAAAATTTAAGAAACCAAACTCAAAACCCTGACAACACCACCACCACCACAACTCAATGGAAATCCGAAGCTCAACAACAAGTTTACTCTTCCAAACTCCTCCAAGCTCTACGCAATGTCCGTGTCTCATCCTCTCCTTCAGCTCCGAAACGCGGCCGAGCAGTCCGCGAAGCTGCAGATAGAGTTCTGGCCGTGACAGCTAAAGGAAGGACCAGGTGGAGCAGAGCGATACTGACAAATCGGCTTAAGTTGAAATTTTTAAAGAATCACAAGAGGCAGAGAGTGGTGGTCACCGGGAACGGCCGGCCAGCGAAGAAGCCGAGAGTGAGTATTTTGAGGTTGAAAACGAAGAATTTACCGGCGGTTCAAAGGAAGGCTCGTGTTCTTAGCAGGTTAGTTCCCGGCTGCCGGAAACAACCGTTGCCGGTGATTCTTGAAGAAGCCACTGATTATATTGCTGCTCTGGAAATGCAAGTTAAAGCCATGTCTACTCTAGCCGAGCTACTTTCTGGCTCTGGCTCTAACGCCACTCCTCCTAATCAGCTCGGCGCAAGCCGGCCTTCTCCCAGTTGATACTATTGTTGCTCTTATTGTCTTTTTCCTTTTTCTTTTTCGAATTTCCCTATATTGTCTATCCCTCTATCTTTCAAGGCATTTTCCCGTTTATACATTTCCACTTTACATATTTTTTTTACTTTTTTTAGTATTATAGTATAGTAAATTCTCTTTTATATGTCTCCAGGGAGTAATGCTATTAGGACTTAAAAGTTAATTTCATTTGTTGAATTAATGACGTGATACTAAATAATGATCTAATTTGTTAAATTAATTATATAATAATAACGTAGTTCAATAATATTGTTATGACGGTAATTGTTAGATTTTTTTCAATGAAACTCACTTGTCACATTATTAGTTTAATAAATTAAGTCAATTATTTAAGTTTCAATGACATTATTCATAATGATTAAATAATGTGATTTAGGTGCAAAGAATCAAATCTCTCTTGTGTTTTTTATTTTTTATTTTTTACAGATGTTCTAATTTATTTTGACTACTCTCTCAAGTTCAGAGGAGATGAGCTAGAATAGAACATGTTTACGCGGAACAAGGGTGACTATTAGTCCTTAAGGGTATAGAAAAAAATTGAATTTAAAATTTTTGAGTTACTAAATATCTGACTTAATCAGTGAACCGCGTTAATCACTCTTTTGTTTATTTATGTGTTCAGAATTCTGTTATTTTGTTTTTGAGTCCTTCACATTTATCAGGTTTTGAAACTTTCCCTAATGTTTGAGGGAATCATCTGAATGACCCCCGAAAATCCTAGGGTATTTTGTTGGTTTGGGCATCCGAGGGAACGGATCTCAATTATTTTATAAAATAAAAACATTCTTCTCAAATTATATAAAAACTTTCAATGGGGCAAGTTCTAAATAATGCTAAATTTATAAGAATTTTGGAATGGGCCCCAAAGTTTTTTGAAATTGCAGTGGGGCAGGTGCTCCCATGCTGGATTCGCCTCTGGGTCACAGGGCATTTAGTAGCATCTTCTGTGAATCCAGTAGTCAGATATGTGAGGTCAGTGCTGCATATATAGATGTGGTGAGTTATTACAATAGTTTCTTTTCTGGCTAAGTTGCTTGTGGGGATTCTGAGTGCGAGTTCAATTTTCTTTTCCATTGAAAAGATGCAATCATAAAGAACACTCTGGAAAATTGCAGCAGAGGAAGAGAGGACTTCTGTCAACTGGGCATGAAGCAATGAAAATCATCCGCCCAGAAAAATGAAGGTACCAACAATGTGGCAGCAACCTCATATATGTATTAATATACAGCTGCTTCATAGGGAATGGGGAATACTCTGAAAAAGTTAATATTGACTCACTAATTTAAAGAGTTTACTGATTGAAATCCTTAGCATTGCTTGACTACATATTCTGAATAGTGTATAATCATTTTGCAACTGAATAACACGCCCAAATGTAGTTAAGAGGTGAGGTATCTGCCCCAGACATGATGATGGAGTAGCTTGAGATTCGATTACTTTTTTGAGTTCAGTAATTAGCTAATGTGACTTGAATTCTGTTACAGATTATCCTTAATAGGACAAAGGCTGGTTAGCTCTTAAGAGGTGTAAGAAGAGAATGAACCGAAGACCTTAAATCACCCTTAATGTTTTGTTTGATACGATAATAAAAAAATAGNTGAGGTATCTGCCCCAGACATGATGATGGAGTAGCTTGAGATTCGATTACTTTTTTCAGTTCAGTAATTAGCTAATGTGACTTGAATTCTGTTACAGAATATCCTTAATAGGACAAAGGCTGTTTAGCCCTTAAGAGGTGTAAGAAGAGAATGAACCGAAGACCTTAAATCACCCTTAATGTTTTGTTTGATACGATAATAAAAAAATGGAAGGTTGAAAAGTTAGAGGGATAGACAAAATATTATGTTTGGTAAAGAAGAAAAATAAGAAGGATAAAAAAATAGATGAATTAACTTTCTTTCCACCTCACCAAAATTAATTCCTTCAAAATTAGGAGAAAAAGTTGATGAAAAATTAATTATATATGTTGAAATGTATGTTATTTGTTTATATATCCTTTGAAATATACATATATCATATTTATTAATTATATATTATGTATACATTAATTATATATATAAATATAATAGTAAAATATGCATTTATATTTTTTCTAATAAAAAATTAAAATTAAAGATTTTAAAAAATAAAAAAAAAATTTCTATCTTATCAAACAGAAAAAAAATCAATTTTTTATATTTTTCATTTCTCTTGTCAAACACAAAGGAGGAAAGAAAGAATTCTACCCTTGAAAGATGAAAATATATATCACTCATATTTTTTATTTTTTTATTTTTCCATACCGATGATAAAAAAAATTATGTTAAAGGTTAATTATCCTAAAGAGACAGTGGGACTTTCATCAGGGGTTGTGGATGACACGTGAGACCTGTCTGTCAGCGGCGCCATGACCCACCTGACCTGAGGGGGCACAGGGACAGCGGCGGTGATGGACCGATGGTGTGGGGGAGGGGTGATGTGGGTGTGGGTTAATCAGTATAATCAATTGGAATTGGATGGACTCGGTGGAGGTTTTGAATAGCGACACTTGGGTGACCACACACCATATTGCACGTACAGGGGAGGGCTTCAAAGTCAGCAAAAGTGACTACACATTTTCTGAAGGTATTCAATCTTATACATTTTTTCATGCGCACAACACCAGAATCCACATGCACCCATGTGCCTCATTTAAGCCTATCTTTTCATTTCTCAGTCCCCCATTTGAATTTTAGTCCTAATCATCTGAATCAGTTTTAGGATGGTACTGTGTGTGTACATACATATATATATATATATACAGAGAGAGAGAGAGAGAGAGAGAGAGAGATCATGTGGGGGCTAGAGATGGGGGGATGATGGAAAAAGGAGGGGCAAACAGTTTTTGGGTGTGCACATCCGATGCTAGTTATTCAGTCTCAAAGTGGACATAAAACAGTTTTGAGAATGGCCACTTCTGCCTTTGCTGTAAGGGCTAAGGACATTCGTGTCACCTTCTTTAACGCACGTTACACTCCTTGAATAATCCAAGCCAGAAACAAAGTTAGGGATGAAAGAAAATAATTAGTAGAACTACCGATGAATAAATCCCACACCTTTGCGGTATTTTGTTCGAGGAATCTTTGGTAAGTGCATAATGTTTCCTTTGCTACTATAGAAGATGAAAAGTTAAAACAGGTAGATAAAATATCATATTTAATAAGTAAAGAAAATAAGAATAATGAAAAAAGTGAATGAATAAACTTTTATTTCAACTCATCACAATTAATCTCTCTAAATTATGAGGAAAAATAGATGAAAAATTAATTTATGCGTTGAAATGTATATTATTTGTCTACATATTATTTAATATTTACATATATCATATTTATCAATTACATATTATATATACATTAATTTTATATATAATATAATGTTAAATTATGTATTTATACTAAAAATAATAAAATAAAAAATTATAATTTTTCCATCTTACCAAACACACAAAAATGAATCATTCCTACTTTCCCTCTCTCTCACCAAATATAAAAGAGGAAAGTAAGAATTCCTCTCTTGAATGATAGAAATTGTATCACATTTATTTTTTATTCATCATATCAAACGGATCATAAAGGTCAACTTTAACTCTAAGGGATAGTTCAAGCGATAATCGAGACAAATTGTAAACTCTAATGTCCTAAGTTCGAATTTTTACAATTTTTTGGAGCCAAATCACAAATGTTTTATCTTTCATGAATACCTTAGTCTTTGCATAGATGACTTGTCTTTAATCAGACTTGAAAGAAAATTAATCGAAGTGTACAAAAATTTATACAGACATATCTGACTGTTGAACAAAAAAAAAAGAGGGTCAGAATCGTATTTTATGTTTTACGGGAAGGACTTGTATTGTGATTCTTGTTATTATTTATTACTACTAATTTAGTTGGTGTAATAATATAATTAGTAGTGGTTTTCATGACAACCCCTGCTGTTATTAAGTGTGGTTTAGGGGGCAAGTTTTCATCATTTGAGTAACCATAGCCACTATTAGTTGTTCCCTTCGACATATCTCCTACCCACAAAACATCCAAAACAAGTAAGAAAATAAATGTTTTATACCTAATAAGTTAATTCTACACACTCTATGTGTTTTTTTTTAATTTAATGGTCAGGAGTGTTCAGAATAATTTACGAACATTAAAATTGTACTCAATCAGACATTGACGGATATTTCATTTCCACTACAAACATATGGAGTCTGATTGAGTGCATTTGAAATATTTTTATTTTCCTTTCCCTAATATTCGAGAACATGAATTGAGTTTGGCGTAAATTATTTTAATACTTACATTAAAAATGAAAAATGGATTTGTTTTTCTTCTCTCTCTCACACACACACGCACACAAAAGTCAAGAAAGAACTCCTTAACATTGTTAGGAGCTATAGTACTTCACCTGTCTAGTTCTACTCTCGACGAACCTTTGGTGCGTGCAGACTGTAGTTTTGTTTGGCACGAAGAGAAAATAAAAGGATCGATAGTTATATGGATAAATAAAATATCATATTTAATAAACAAGAAAAATAAGAAAGATGAAAAAATAGATAGATTAATTTTTTTTTAACTCACAAAAATTAATTCTTTTAAAATTAAAAAAAAAATAGATGAAAAAATAATTATGTGTATTAAAATATAAGTTATTTATTTATATATTCTTTGATATATACACATATCATATTTATCAATTATATTTTATGTATACATTAATTCTATATATATATATATATATATATATATTAAAATATGTATTTATACATTTTCTAATAAAAAATAAAATTAAAAAAATACTTTATTCATCTTATTAAACATAAAAAAAAAATTAATCTTTTTTCCTTTCCATCCCTCTTACCAAACACAAAGGAGGAAAAGAGAAAGATTATTTCCTTGAAGAATTGAAAGTGTATTACTTATATTTTTTATTTTTTTATTTTTTCATCCA